ATTTGGACATTTCAAATGTCAAAATTTTCTTGGAGTATTTGTTTAACTTTCTGAGTTGATTCATACTTATCATTCACCACTAATACATTATTGGCATATTGTTATTAAAGTTTTTGCATTTTCTTTGTGTAATGAAAAGGAGCATGGATTAACTTTCACTTGGATATATTCTTTGTTGCATAAAATTTGATCTGTTTTGTGATTCCAGTTTCTGTCTACTTACTTTTTCTTTTCTACAACATATTTTTTTTCTTTTGGTTAATAGACTTTTTATTCCTTTGGTGAAACATAACCTCCTAGTTGATTCATATGTATTTTGTTTTTAGGTCTTTGTATAGATATACTGTTTTAACTCCCATGTAGAGGTGCCGAAATTATTTATGTGCATGTTCTTTTGAGCCTGATGTCAAGATTGTCTTAATTGTAGTGTATTTTATGACTGATGCAAATATCTCATTATAATCATGCCCATGCTTTTGGCAATATTATTTAGCTACTATATGAACTTTATTTCTTATGATACAACTTGTAGCACCATATTTTGTTTTGAATGTCCACATATTTCCAGTTGCTTTCTTTCCATCTGGAAGATCAGCTGCAAAGTAACTAAAAAAAGTTCTTGCTCTTTGTGATCATCAGAAGCAGACAGATATCCAACATACTCATACGTTAATCAGTGTTAGGTCTCAAAGTAATCTTCATCAACATCCAATACCCTTTGTCAACATTCTTGCAGCTGTAAAATGTTCTGTAACCTTGAGGCTCTTGGACACAAAGAAGTCTGTGAGTTCCCATTGGCTGCTTTTCAGGCCTTGTCATCCAAACCTGTGGTAACCTACTGCTGTGTTCATCATAAAGTTAAAAATCTCCTGACATGAACTTTTGGAACCAGTTTGGTAGTGCATTCATTCACAACAACCTCCTCAAATGCCTGACATATTTACCTATTTGATGTAGCTGCTGACAAGCCCATTTTAAAACCATACTTTAAACAACTGCAGATGAACTGCTTCTATATCTCCGTATCTCTTTGACACTATAAAAACTGTGGAGGCTGTGTGTGCAATAACATACCTGTATTAATGCAGGTTAATGTTTACATTAACCCTCTCTTGCTTTTCCATCATGCGAGTCACTTTGTTTCCTCTCTCTTGCTTAAAAATGGCAGGAATGTGTTTTCTTCATAGTTCCCATTTATTATTTAATTTCTCAAGTGATGTTTGATATTATTAAAAAAATTAGCGATTTTTCTCCCTGGAGCAAATTACAAAAAAAAAAAAAAAAAAAAAAAAAAACCCTATTTACAAAAAACCAATATTACATGGTTGGAATGATTGTTAATACATTGTGTGTCTCCCAGATGATGCAATATAGTCTGGACAATGCCTAGGCATGCCGAGTATCAAATTATCGATCTGATCTTGGGGGATATTACACCACTCAAAAAGCAATGCTCTTCGAAGTTCCGATAGACATGTAGGAGGAGGTTGACGGGCTGCAACTCGTCTGCCAAGCATGTTCCACACGTGCTCTACTGGATTCAAGTCCGGTGAGAATGCTGGCCAGTCCATACGAATGATATCCTCCGATTGAAGGCATTCGCTTACGATGTTTGCACGGTGAGGACGAGCGTTGTCATCCATAAACACAAATTGTGTGCCCATGGCGCCCCGAAACAAACATACATGTTGTTCCAGAATGACATCCCGATAGATTTGGCTTGTCATGGTTCCAATTTGAACATGCAGGTCAGTTCTGGAACCCAGAATAATCCACCCCAAACGTGCACTTGCACCACCGTAACGGGCCGTTTAATGATGTTTCTTGGTGGTAATGGGTACCTGGAGCTCTCCATATGAAAGTCCGGGGAGAATCAGACTGCAAGCTAAACCTGGACTCGTCAGAAAACATCACACAAGCCCACTGTGCGGTGGTCCACAATGCATGCTCTTACTCCAGGCTAACCGCAGGCGACAGTGAGTTGCAGTAAGTGGAAATGCATCTGACAGGTTTACAAGCATATAGACCAATCTGCCCTAAGCGTCTGTACACGGTCTGCCTGAAATTGTCGTACTAGTGGCTGAAGAGAGCTGACGAGACAGGTCTGAGAATGTCTCCGCCTGTTTCTTTTGGCAGTAACTAACCCAATACCGGTCCTCTTCAGCATTGTAATTCTGGGGCGACCTGTGCTGTAACGTCTACTCACAGTACCCATCATCTTGGAATCGTTGCCAAAGCCTGGAGATGACACTCTGGCAATTCCAAGTTCGTCTGATACTTCCAGTTGGGTACGCCCACTTCAGACAGCCATAATTCTATCACCACGTAAAAAGTCATCCAAATGCGTCCTTTGTGTCATAACTATTCGGTTATTGCACTGAAATGCTATAAAGCGCCTGCGAACAACTTACTTTTTTTGCGGGGATCCTTATATATCACTGTCTTACAACTCGTCATTGTGACGTATCATCGGTATCATCTGGTGACTTCCTGAAATTTGCATATGATTTGAAGTGGTGTAGTGATTTTACAAGTGATATATTTATTTTTAGAGTTCGATTTCCGCGTGACTCCGAATTATCCTTAATTTATGGACGTGAGTGTAAATGTCCTGAAGTATTTCTTTCCACCTTGAGATGTACTAATTGGTCTACAAACATCCAGTTGTATTGATTCCAGAATTAATTTTGCTCCATAGTTGTTTTACATAGCATGCGGTAATTCAGACATTTTGCTTCTAATGAAACATTGTTATTCATTGTTTTTTCAGATTTCTCCATATATCTTTATTCCACTTGCTAAATAATTATTCTTCAGCCTTTTGATAGCATCGTAATCTGTATATATAATCGTCTATGCCAGAGATCAATGTTGTTTTCACCCTTTTTAGTAACTCCAGTTAGTTTTTTTCCTTCTCACAATTCAGTTATTTTATGTAATTTTTTTTTTTTTTTTTTTTTTTGCTTTTGCTATAGTCTTTTTTCTTTATTCTATAGTTGTCTTCTTGATGTGTTACGATAAACTCTTTGTTTTCAGTTTTTTATATGGATATTAGTCCTCCTTCGAAGTTTTTAACGTACAGAACCTCTACACATTTTATTTTTGTTTGATTATCTTCACTATATATGCAGTTAAATATCCTTCTCCAATGCCTTCATATTTGATTTGAGTTCCATTAGTAATTGTTATTTGCTTCTAATTCCATGATAAAATTTATATCGTTCTGATTCGACTGACCAATTTGCATTGTGGAATTTTCTTACTTTAGTAACTTTGAATGTATTCTTTGAATGTGTTCGGTTTTCTCATCTTCATATATATACAGGGTGTCCCGTAAAAGTTGGGACAAACTTCTGGGGGAGGTAGGGCACATCATAAGAATTAATAATCACATAGGAACCCATGCCCAGCAACATCACTGTATGCTGCCAGGGATGTTGTACAGGAGAGAGTGCTAGTGGAAAGTGAGGATTGCTTCATTCGAGTGGTAGGTACCATACAAAGAGAATGGAACGCTGTACGAACGGAGAGCTTGAAGACGTGCTTAGTGTATAGAATAGCTGATGGTAATAGATGAGCTGCTGCATGCATTTATCGAGAACGCTTTCCCGACAGATATCAACCAAGCCAAAGTTTGTTTGCACATCTGCATCAAAATTTGTGCTGCTATGGGTCATCAAGTGGTAGGACAAAGTGAGGAAAATTAAGAAGTGAGGGCAGGCCACGATCGATTCACTTGGTCGTTAGGGAAGAAAGTTTGTTGGATATGGTGGAGAGTAACCAGCATACGTGCTATTGCCTTTGAATTAAAAATGTCTTATACCAGTGTCCAGTGTGTCTTGAATGTCTTCCACGCCTTTTGTCTCCAAAGGGTTCAGTTAGTGCTCCCCGATAACCATCCTGAATGTGTGCATTTCGTACAGTGGTTTCTGCAAGAAAATGCCTGTAATGTTAATTTCCCAGCTTATGTGTTGTTTATGGATGAGGCCATATTTAATAGGGATGGCATAATCAATCACCACAATCAGCATTTGTGGGCTCAAGAAAACTCCCTCGGTGTGCGGCATCACAACACTTCAAAGTTAATGTGTGGGCAGGTTTTGGTCGGCAGCTGCTTAATTCTGCTTGTGGAGAGCCATCAAAAGTGTCCTGTATCACGATGCTGTTATGTCTGAAATGGATCTTGTGGAAAGACTCGTCTGTCCAGCTGCTACAATCAAAGAAACTTCCCATGTGTTTGAACACGTCCGGCAATCAATGGTCCATAACTTTATGATAAGTTGCTTAGTACTGTAATATCACTATCCTTTATATCTTCAGTGAGCCCTCACAGTTCAGCTGTCTTCAACATTTTGTTGATGTGTTCTTTGCATTTGAATTCATTTTCTACTTATGCAACTTTCCGAGAAGAGGAAGTTTGCTTTAGAATTTTGTCTCTGATTATTTTGCATTTATTTAGCTGTTGTTTTATCTCCTATGTGTTCAATCTGGTTATGTTCTACAAGTAAACTTATAACTTTTGCATGCTTGTCTCAGTTTCTTCACTCAGCAGTGATTGGTGAATAACTTCTAACATGTATTTAACTAACTGACATTTGTTACTGTTTAGTTTCGTGATAGAGTACTTACTTATATTTGTAGCAAAAATGAAATCAACATTACAACTCTTATCTCTCCCAAATTAATTTAGAGAAGATGTATCCATACATGATCAAATAATGATCCGTTCTATTTTATAGCAACAAAGCGAAAAGAAAAAGGGTGAAACAAGCACTAATAAAATTTACAGCTACTTATGTTTCATGTTCATATTTACATACATATGTATTTATGTATGTACGGAGCAACTTGTTACAAAGTTTTTTTTTACTTACAGTCTATTCATTTAGATGAACAGTTCTGCATAAAAAAAATCTATTATTCTCCTCAGTTATGTAACATGAACCATGTAATGTCTTACTTATGTTTTTATAAATGTAAGTGCAGTATATTTTTTACAGGACTTTTGTTGAGCTTAGAATCAGAATTAAATGATTTCATAGAAGATTTAAAAGCTGTGATCGACATTGGAAATCATTGAGGAGGAGGAGGAGAAGAAATGAGTTTCGTATATATTTATGTTCCTTTTTTTAAATTTTATTTTGTTTGTGATAAGAATTGAAATTCTCACTCAATGTCAGCAGTGAACTACTTTCGTATAGAGCATTAACAGAAAATTTGTATATAAGATCTTAATTTTTTTGTAACATGTAAAATAAAATATTTTCTAATATTTAGTATTTTTCTAATTTTTTGAGCTAATGTAAATAACAAGAATGAAGAACAAAAAAATTGCTAAAAGTTTTGAAGTACCCATATATATCTAGAAAGTATGTACACATATCGCTGACAAGTCTGAACTGTTTTGGATGTCACTGGAACCCTTGGTATGTCTACAGTTTAACAAAGATTTACCATTACGGACACTTACCAGCAGGCCCACTTCAAGCCTAATCGGCGCTGTCGTGCAAATGTCTAGCATGCGCCTTTATGCAGTGACGATATTAAAGGGAAATTGCTTATGGTTAACACTTAAAATGAAGCATTATTAACATAATAATGTGAAAAAAAAATTACATTTTATCTTTTAATTTGTCTAAATAGGCAAACATTTTGTGCTTTGTTAAAATCCACACTCAGATATATTTATTGAAGAATCATATATATATTTAGGCACCCAACTGGTATAGTGGTTAGCGATACTGCCTGCTATGCTGAACGTCCCAGGTTTGAATCCTGAAGAAGGCATGGATTTTTGTAAATGTATAGTGTCTGTGCGGCATGGGGGCCTAAATATGTGCCGAACTGAAAACCTCCCGAGAGGTTGGTGGTAGGGTAAGAGGGGGTACAAAATGCTCTGATCCCCCCTGGAGGGCTCTCCATCAAAATTGAGGACGAAACTGAGCTAAATTGCACTCTCACCTGTAAGGTGCTCAGGGTTTATGAGAATGACAGGTATAACGTGAGCTCCTTGGCACGCGAAGTTTCGTGAGCTTGGGCTGACTGTAGGTTAGACAAGTCAGCATTAGTCAAATTAGTCAAAAACAACAACGTGTTATACAAAAGTAACACTGCAAGCGAAGCGAAATAATGTACTGAACGCACTGGATACTAAATATACTGCTGAACACTATGTATTACCTTCAAATTAAAAGCAAATTAATTTACGTATCTAATAAGTTTGTGTTGAATAAATTGTGGGATAGCTTTCCGGCAAAGCAGGTTTAGGGTTGCCATAAAATAGGCAGGGTTGCCACATTTGGCGACATTTCGTGACAAAATTGTGATATACCATGGACGGTTGGAGAATCTTCTGGAACGAATTCTTACCGGTTTAGCCCAGAATGTTCTTGAACACAAGCCGAAAGCTATAAAAGTCAGTTAGTGTGTGCTTCGTCTAGAGTGCAAGAGAGCGTGTCTCATCTAGTTAGTCCATGCGGAGACAAAAGAGTTGACAGCCGGCCAGCGAGTGCACCGAAGTAGTCTCTAAGTGTATTGCTGTTAGTGCTTCGTCGAGAGAGCGTGTTGAGCTCCGGGAATAACTGAACCAAAGAGTCGGGAGCTGTGCTCTGTGTGTCGTCAAGTGCATCGTGAGTTGTAGTGTGGAGAGTTTCGAGAGTACGTGGAGTTCCGAGAACGACCGAACAGAGTCGGGAGCTGTACTCTGGTGCTTTGCAGTGGAGCTGTCTCCACCGTTGTAGCCTGATAACCTGAAGGCTGTGTCGCTGATTGTCCAGTGAGTGTATAGCAGATATTCGATGACTGTAAAACATGACTTTGGAACTGTCTTGATTAATATTGACTAAATAAAGTGTGTTCGATATTTCATCAAGTGTTGTCGTTATTCACTCCAAATCCATGAATCGTGTACGAACATTAAGGAAGAAAATAATGTAATAACTGATGTCAGGGGGAAAAAAAAAGCAACAATATATTTGTCTAGTAAATCGATCAAAAATTACAAATTCTCACCACTGTTTGCAGATTGATCGATGTTTGTCGAAAAAGCAGAGTTTCTGTAAACGTATTATCCCTTATATTTTGCACCTGACCTTGTTCAGACTAAAATGGTAATTAGTTAAATTCGGGAAATTCCAGCATGATGATCACTCTGCCTTTTTTGCGCCTTGTACAGAGGATGACTCAAAAGACAATTCTTGCACTTCTGGTTGAATTTCGTTTGCTTCAGTAAAATACGTTTTAAAAAAATCTGCATTATACATTGGCATTTGGTCCATTGTAGAAGATAAATGGTAGCTGTCATCTTTGTTGTTGAAGTAAGAGTTGAGTCCCTTTCTGACTGATTTGTTTCACGTTCCTGGTTCTATTTACCACAACAGCATATCTTTAAAAACAGCATATCTTTAGAATTTCCTATAGACAATCTCGCACGCTGCATATAAAATGTTTTATTCCATACAGTACTGCCACTACTCACTTTGACATCATTTATTCATCAAAATTTACACAAAATATGAAATAAAAGAGATTCGGTCTTCCTTGTGCCCATGTTCGGGTGGAGGACTACGTTATTCAAAATTTAATGGCACTAAGTAGCATTGTTTTTTCACAGTGCAAGAAACATGCATACAGATGCTTTACAATTTAATTTCTTTAAATATAATAAACGGTGGTGATAATAGTTGTTGGGAGCAGTATGAAAAGTGTTTCCACACCGTATCGAGGCCAAAATCTCATAACGTCCCTTTTGGACTAAGAATACTGTATCTTTTTCCTCGAGAAAAATGATATCTTACAATACCAAGAAAGAAAATCAAAGATATTATTATTATTAAACAAAAAGAAAGAGCTTCTCTTTTTGTTGTGAGAGCTGACAGATAATTCTCTTTCTCTGAGAAAATATGTGGCTAGCTGTAGTCAAAGCAATTATGTTCCAAGATTAGATATCCTTAAACAATATTTAATCCAAACACTTTAACGCAATACCCAAGTTTTGGTAGGAGACTAATTTATTAGAATTGAGTTGACTGAGGTGAGATTATCGTGAAAATCTCTCAGTCAGCCAAAGAAAGATATATTGTGAAAGTGAATTGAGAAACTCCCAATGCAGGCTAAGAGGACTGAGCTGCCTTCATTTTTCCGAAGAAGACTTTCCAAAGAGAATTTGACTTGTTGAAAAGGGCTAGGAGAAATATTTAAACGGATCATGACAATGAGGAATTTATTGATGAGATCTTTTTCTTCCTTGACTTCGGATTCTTATTATTTGAATATTGTAACCTGTTTATAGATGATTTTTTAGACGAGCTCAGGAAACGCTTTCAGCCAGCCAGAGAAAATCTCACAAGAAATTAAAATAAAAATAATAATAATAGTAATAATAATTATAAATGATGTCTTTTATTTTCTTTCTTGGAATTGTAAGATATCATTATAATTAAACATAACGAAACATTTCTTTAATAGTTTCTGAAAGCCGGGAGATATTCTCTCTCTCTGAGAAAATGTCTGTCTAGCTATAGCCGAAGTAATTAAACTCTATTCAGAATCAAAGCAATTTTGACTCTTTAATGCATGTTTGGTAGGAGACACATTTATTAACTGAGGCGACCGAGATGAGAATAATCAACCAGAGAAACAAAATCTCTTAGCCAGGCAAAGAAAAAAAATCTCGCACGAAATAAAAATAAATAAAATCTGAAGAGCTTTCAGATTTTGCATTACGTCTTAAGGGGCGTTTTTTTAACGTTTTTTGTGTTTTCTTTATATATCATATATTAAATAATATGTTCTTCGCATTTAAACCATAAACATTCAATTCAACATCAATACAGCAAAATCATTTTAAAATGAACATATCTTTAGAATTTACGATACACAGTCTCGCACGCTGGAGATAAAAAAAATCCCCACCCCATACAGTGTTGTCGTTGCTAGCTTTGAAATCGTTGAGTCTGTTAATAAAAAATTTGTTAGTTTTACAAAATATGAAATAGATAATAAAACAAATTCCAAATTTGGGCTTCCAGATGCCCATATTCGGGTGGAAACGTACGTTATTCAAAATTGAATGGCTCTAAATACCGTTGTTTTATCACCGTTGTTTTTTCTTTTTCTTTTTTTTTTTTTTTGAGAAACATACATACACTTATGTAGATTCTTCATTATTTAATTTCTTAAAATGTAATATGTGCTGTAATATTTGGTGGCAACAATTTAAAAAGTGACTTGCCGTTTATAGTGACTTATCACAAAATGCCAAAACGAAATGAAATAGCCTTCGGGTTAAATTGTCCCTTTGGGCTAAAAAAAGAACTCTTTCTTTATATGATTCTAGTTAAATTATGTGTTTTTGGCAATTAGAACTAGAGAAGAGTCTAGTGACTATTCGTTGTTGTTCTTATAACTGCAGAAGCAAAGTTCAAAGAAAGGTTAACATACCCTTTTATTTAATTCAAATAATAATCACAGATGGTTCCTTTCCGGCTTACGAGAGCCCACCAGTGGCCGAGCGGTAAAGCCGCTGAACACTGGTAGTTCGGTCCGAGGTTTGAATCCCGTGAACTGGTGGCTGCATGGATGTTTTCGTGGTTTTCCCCATGTGTAACGTGTATACGAAGGCATCCCTCCCTTAAGGCAAATAGCCCTGGAGTGCTTTGCCGTAATCCAATAAACCTTTCCGGCTTACAGGAAAGCCTCTACTTGGGCTTAAGATAGAAAATAAGCAATTAACTAATTCAAACTAAAATTTAGCCAAAGCTGTACAGAAATAATTAAGCGAGTTGGCCCTTATTTTAAACCTCGCCCATTAAATATTGGTTCTACCTCATTTACATAAAACTCGATACTGAAAACTTATTGTGGCAGAAAGTTGTGGGTGGCAAACAAGATAATGAAGGAAAAGGTTTCAAAATTTAAAATAACTATTAGGAAATTAAAATAATCCTTACATCTTTTTGTTTAATAAAAATGATGTCTTACATTTTATTTCTTGGAATTACAAGACATTATTATAATTAAATAAAAAGTTTTTTTTTTTTTTTTTTTTTTTTTTTTTTTTTTTTTTTTTAGTAGTACCTGAGAGCTGAGAGAATCTTTGAAAAAATATCTGGTTAGGTTCAAAGATTAAATCAAAGACCTTTGCTCTTAAATAGTGGATATATCGAAACACATTAAGTTCTCAGCCATCATCCATATTCAACAGATTTGGTACACAGTGGCTTTTTTTATTCCCCAAAATCAAATTTCACATGAAGGATCAACGATATGACCGTCA